CTGTGGCCATGGAACTGATATTTCTACTGATGTAGCAATATAGTGTAAAACTGATAATCTGTTACAAAACAAATGCAGATGATACAGGTACAGGCTCACAAAAGTATTCATAACCCTATTCCATATTTTGTCACATTACAACCAGACACAAATCTATTTTATTGGAATTTTATGTGAAAGACCAAAAAAAGGTCATATACATCTAAGAGGTAGAAAGAAAATTATACATTTTTTTTATATTGGTAAACTAATGTAAAAATACAACTTGACAGCCATGTACTCTTCTGGTCAGTCACGTAATATTTCAACATAATACATCGTTACAGACGTAGTAATTGTATTGTAGTGGGTCTTATGACGGCCTGATTACTCCATTATCATCCAGCATGAACCGTTATCTGAAACAGGAAGCAGTTCATAACAACAGCGACAGAGCACAAACTCTGGAAAACAGCGGAAACTAAGCGTCTCAGTTTGTCCTGTTTAAACTAAAAGTACAAGCAAAACAAAAAGTTTCCCTCACTGTTATCTGTAGCAAGCGCGAATTCTCCTTTTTACCTGCCATGATCACAGAATTGGACTCCACCCCGGTCGCCTTTTTCTTGTCTTCTGTTTAGATGGAAAAGCTGCGGGTGTTTTTCTGCGTTGATCTTCGCTTCCAGTCGAAGGTTTTGCAATTTTTGGCTGCGGATGTCTGTGGGACACGGAGTCCACGCCCCGCCGCCCCACGGCGGGGGAAGAGAGGAGCCCACTCTCAGCTGGGAACCGAGACTTCTGCTTTCTGATGGTTCGACTGCACAGCCTGTTCAAGTTCCTAACTGACATCTGGTCACTTATAGTCACACTGCTTACACACCTCATTTTACACAGAAGCTATTATAAAATGCTCCATACCATCAGTGTCTATGAAAAGTATTCAGCCCCCCAAATTGTTCTACCCTTTTATTACTTTTACAAATCAGTTATGATAAACAAAACTTGACTTTTTTGACCAAAAAAGACAAAAAAAAAACAAAAAAACAAACATATTAATGTCAAATTCAAAAGGGTATTTTTTTTTTACAAAAAATAATGACAAATATAAATATGTAACATACATATTTACATATCTGTTCAAGTCAATTTAACAGATGCACCTTTGACTCCAGTCCCAGCAGTGAGTCAATGGCTGTCAGTCTTCTGGACGCTGCACTTTTCCTCCATTCTTCCTGTTAAACTCTTGCAGCTCTGTCGGGTTGGGGTGGATCACCTGTTAACAAGTCCAGTCCCATTTTCTCTATCAGATTTAGATCTGACCTTTGACCTCTCTCAAGCCTCATTCTAGCCTCAGTAACTAAAGAGGCTGAGGTGTCTCTTTAGTTATGCCACTAGGCTGCTGGAGGAAAACTTACCACTTTTCCTCACTCTGCTACTTCTTTCTTCTTCTACTTTTCTTCAGTTTGTATTATTTTCTCTTATTTCAACTGTTTAAGTTTTCTCTAAGTTTTTTTCTCTCCATAGAAGCTACATCTGGTCTGGCATTGTCCAGCTGTGGTTCCATCCTAAAGGAGAACATCAGTTGAGATAAAAAAGTCAACAATTTTTCACCCAGGTGGATAAAGCAGAGAACAAAATGTATTCTAGCAACGTACTTCAATACTGCCAACAAAAAGTCTCAGAGGATGAGACTTTTTGATTATAATGTAGAATAATTAGAATGTCGGATTTATGTTTCTAAAAATTATATATTAAAATTAAAATTTAAACTGATGTGTTCATTCTGGTATTTTTAAATGACAAAATTAAAATAGGCAGAAAAACAAATAATAGAGATTTTTCACAAACCAAAATCTTCAGTCACTTTTTATTTATGTTTGAACAAAACATGTTACTGTCATGGCCCGAGTTCT